GGGAGGGAAGCAGGTCCCTCTCCCCCATGCTCCGCAACCGCCGAGTGAAAAACCACTGAAAACGCAGCTGCTTTCCCAAGGTGCTGCTGGAACCGCAGTCTTGCCCCAGCCAACATGAACAGCTTTTCTATCTCTACACCCACTCACTGCAAACAGCCCAGACTCCTCTTTCTCCAAAACAGAGACATCCCATTTGTCAGCAGCCAGATTCCACTTCATATTTAGGGTTTTTTTTTTTTTTTTTTTTTTTACAGTTCACAAATGATGATTCCGGTTTATTTTACCCCAGGGCCTCTGAACAAGTTCTCCAACACCCATTTATCACGGGAACTGAGCAAATTCCCCCCTTCCACAAATAAGCGAGCAGGCAGCAAGCGGTTAAGTGACTTCCAGCGCGTTCCAGGAAAATCAGTGGCAAAACCAGGGAGAAGGTAGCTGTCTCCCCAGCCAGCCCTCGAGCTACAAATCCAGGGGGAAAACAACGCACAAAGGGAGAGGAGCAGCCACCCTAGAGTGCTCTGAACACTCAGGAAGCTCCACGTGCCGAGCTGGGCATCCCCACGGAGAAGCCAAACTCCTCAAGCTCACGCACAGAGAACCCCAAAGGACCTACCGAAAAGACGCGTGGCTGGAGATGTGCAAAGGGAAGGGGAGCAGGGGGGTCCTGGAGATCAGGGTGGGGAACTCCAGGTTCTCCAGGAGCAAACGTGCCCCCCAGCGTAGCTTGTGGAGGGGCCCTGTACTTGCCTGCTCCTGTTGCAAAGCTTTGACAAAGGCGTTCTTCAGTCGGTTGGTGTGCTCTGCCTTCAGCGCCTTCTTCTGATTGGAAGTCATGCACTGCTCACACAGGATCTTCCCGTTTTTCTCCTGCTTCCAGTGAGGAGTGAAGTCGGTGCGGCACTGGGCACAGACAAAGGGCTCCACACGCAGAAGGGACACACAGCTTTTCCCTAGGAGTCACCACAAACAGGATTTAGGTGGGCAATCAGGACAGCCCCCCACTCTCACACTGCCTCCTCCATCCTGGGCACGACAGCAAGGGGCTCCCGTGTCCACTGCTGGAGCGGGAAGGAAGGTACCATCAAAAAAAAAAAAAAAGAAGATTTTTCAGGACAGTGTCGCATCAAAGTCCAATCCCACTCTGGGCAAGAGCTCAGCATCCTGGGAGAGACAGAGGAGAAATCCTGCCCCAGGGACACAACAAGACTACAAAAAGCTGGGGGTCTTGGTGGCCGAGTCAGGTGAGCCAGTGACGCACCGCGGTTATGCCATGCCAAACACGCAATGGAAGAGCACAGGCTCAATCCCGTCCACCTGGGAGGTGACAACCCGGAGGGAACGCTGAGGTAGAAGCTAAAAATCTCCATGATCCCACAGGGATGGGACCCCGGGCACTCACAGCTCCGAGGATTTCGCATCTCAGTTCCCGAACATTCATTCAGGGAAGGGTCCGAGAGACCCCTCCCCAAGTGGGCATTGCCCGACAAGCCCCAGGGCACAGACACTGCTGCTCCAGGGCCAGCTGCCGGCTCAGCACACCAGGGCTGCCAGCCTCGTCAGACCGGCTCCGTGCCCACAGGGCCGGCACACAGCTCCCGGTCGGGAGGGGGTTCCAGGCTCTGCCCTCCCCTCCGCTGCAGGCACCCGCAGCAAGGAGCAGCAGGGTCCAGGGCTGGGTAAGACCAGAAACATTCTCTTGTAGCCTCACAAGCCACAGACTTCGGCATTTTGCAAAAAAGGAAAATGCACGTGGGAGCACTGTCAGCGAGGAAAGCCCCCCCCCCCGAGCTCACCTTGACTGTCGATAACGCTCTGCACCACCTCCTCCAGCCCCACCATGTAGATGAACTCGCTGTTGGCTGCGCTGGGCAAGAAATGCAGCAGGGGAGCGGGTGGCTTTGGGGGTGGGATCTCCAGCAGTGTTTTTTCCAGCTGTTTGCGGAGGGGGGGCTTTGCAGGTGGCCGGGGGGTGGGGGGATTGGGGCTGGGGAGCGGAGACGACACCCTGTTCACAGTGCCAGGCTGGATGTGAGAGGCAAGGTTCATATAGATGGCTGAAGACGACGTACGCTGGCAAGGAACAGAAGAACTTGATTGCTGGAGAGGAAGAGGAGATGAGGATTAATACAGAAAATTAATACAGTCGTCGACTACAGCTCACACCCTAAAGTAAGCTGGATGAGCCAGATCGCCTTCTGAGAACCTTCCCTCTGCCTGCAAATGTTCCCAAAAGGATGTCGGGAGACAGGAGCGGTGCTGGGAGTCACGAGCAGGGAGCTCATCTCGGTCCCTACGACAAAGCAGTGCCGGTGCCGAGGAGCCTCCGTTGCACTGGAATCTGCAAGAGGAGTCTTGGTGTCTGGAGTCTTCTGCTGGTGAGGGAACGTGTGCCCAGGGCCCGGCCTCGGCCTCACCGAGCGTAGGCAGCGCTGAGCGCCGTGATTCACGCGCGGGCACCATCGCTCACTGTCGAGTTCTGCTCCTCCACCTCTTGCTTTGCCGATCTGGCAGGCGCCCAGGCAGCATCCCCGCTGCCAGATGGTGTCCGTCCCCTCCCACACAGGTGCTCTGAATGTGCCAATTCCCTCCTCTTCCATTTCCAGCAGCTTTCTCCTGCATCCTCCGTTCATTTGGATGCGCAGTCCCTCTGGCACGTGACAGTAGCAAAGCACAAAGACTTCTGCTGACCTGAGGATCCAGCTTTCGCAGTCTTCTGTGATAAGAAGCCACCAGCCTCTCACCCAGCCCACCAGTTTCCCAGGGTATGAACACTTCCATGGACACAAAGGGGAGAATCCCCAAACAGTAACAAACCCTCTCAGTGACTTAAACAGGGTCAGCAACCAAAGCTCAGACGACACAGTCGTGTCGATCAAGAATAATACACAGAAGATCAATCAGTTTGCCCCAGTTTTCTTTTTTAAGACTGTTAACACTTCACTGGTTGGGAAAAAAAAGCAGAGAACGAAGCTAATCCCAAACCAGTTGTTCTACTGTAGGTCCGGGAAAATTAATGGCAGAGCTGAGCAGGGACAACTCATGTCGATTTAAATAAATTGTTGTTGAATTAACACCAATGAACCTACAACTCTTCTGTAAGAGTAGCTGGGGTGTTTTTTTTTCATCGAACACGTAATTTAGGTTGGTTTGACAGTTGTTCAGATGCAAGACTTTCAGACTATTGCGTAGTCATGTTTATAATTTACAAATTTGCGCTATACTATCATTAGGACAGATTAAACGGCTTAAGAACTGGCAACAAACTCTAAAAGGAATTAACGGGGGTCGTTAACCTGGCCCCACACACACACAGAGCATCTGGGCCAAGCACTGCAGCCTGGGATGAGGAACAGAGACTGTCCCACGGCGCGGGAGACGCAGCCCAGGAACCAAAGCTGTTTGCAGGAGAAAGGTTTGACTGCTTTACGCAGCACAAGTGCTAGAACTGGAAAGCATTACTTTTTTTCCCTTCCCTCTCCGTTTTCAGTCTTCACAGAAGTCTTTCCGCTCTACCAAAAGTAAAACAAATGGGTTTAAGTGTCCTCGTCCTTGACTGCAGGTAGCTCACGGCGCTCTTCTGTCGAGAAACGGAAGAAAAGCACATGCGAGCGAGCACACGCTACTGACTGCGGGAAGAGGAACCAGTCCTGCTCACAAACCAGTAACCCCGCTTCACTGGGGTCTTTGGGTCACGGTTACCTCAGGAGGCTAGCGCTGCTCAGGCAAACCAGCGCTTCGGTACCTGGCAGCTCCAAATAGGAAGTTTTTTAATTACTTATCCTTTCACTCTTTCACGCAGATCAAGGCTATCCGTCTTCGTCCACGCTTGGGATACATTTTCACCTGCAAGCTCTGCTACGATGCCTTCATGCTGAGCTCTGAGCACCTCCGTGGCACTCACAGGATAGAATCATTATGGTTGGAAGAGACCTCAAAGATCATCAAGTCCAACCGTATAAAAGAAATTCTTGTCACCTCCCCATCAGGGACTCATTAAGGCACCTTCTCTTTTCCCTTCTTGCTAACCTAACCAGTTAAGTGTCCCCAAAACCCAGTGATAAACCAGTAACCTACCGGTTGGTAGTTGATGGCTGGATTCATGCTTGGAGTTGTAGTGCGGATGAGGCCAGGTTTAGGAGGAACCCGCTGCCCTTGTAACTGGGCAGGGTTTGGAGCAATCACACGCTGCGACATAAGCATATGGGGCAGAGTCGTATTTGTTGCAGACCTAATGACACTGTGACCCTGTCGAGAAAGGAAACACAAAATAAATTAAAAAAAAAAAAAAAAAGAGGGACTTGAGGCAAACCAGAATTTTTAATTCCCTGATCAGGCTCTGCCACTGCAGAGTATTTCCAGTTAACTTGTAACGTGAGACACCACTCAAAGAACTTAACTTTTCCTCTAATTGCCCTTTATTTTAAATAATCAAGGTCATTTTGCCTGGAGGGAAGATGTCTCAGGTTAACACACTCATATTTTCTGCAGAGAGGCTGGAATTGCACCCGAGTCAAGAAAAGGAGTAGTAATCTCGTGGAGGAACCGCTTCCCAGGAGCCAGCCAGCTGACTGGGAAGAGGTTGGACATATCTTTGCATTAAAAACAACCCCGCCAGTTTGATCAATATGGAAAAATGCCAGGGGAAAAGCGGGGATGCAAAATAAATAATAAAGGGAGGCTGTTTGCCAGCTGCATAGAGCTATTAAAACCAGAATTCACACCAGTGCCGGGAGTTCAAAGTGAAACAGTTAGAAGAGGCGTGACTAACGGGGAGATGGGTGTTTGCCTTGGGTTTTTTTTGAGGCGTGTTATAAACCTCAATCCCGGGCAGTCAGAAACATGACAATGGGATTGGAAAAACCTGAGAGCAGGCTGAGCCATGGCTTGACCTGCCCAGGCTTCTCCTAAGGCTCAGCTCACAGCAAGGTCTTTGCGTCTCTTAGCACAGCCAGAAGGGCTCCGAGGGGGGATGACAGGTAGAAGGGCTCAATTTTTTTTTATCAGAGATGATCTTAAAACCTTAAACACCTCCTGTCTGACAACCTTTTTCTCCCCCTCCTCCCCCTCTCTTTTTTTTTATTAGATGAGGTTCTTTGCTGTCACACGTAAGAAAAGCTTCACAAAGACTGTGCAAACAATGTGTTTCCTCTTCTCCTAAAGCCCATTTCCTTTACCAGCCCGATCCTACTGCGAAGCCACAATAGACTTGACCCTGAATCGTTGCCATAGCAAAGAAAACAAATGCCACAAACAAAAGAGATGGTTAATGGAGGGAGTAAATGATCAGCAAGACTGAAATGAATGTCTTTTGGCAAAAGCAGAAGAGAAAGCTACAGGCAGACAGACGTGTTGGAGGATCACCTCCATCCTCGGCCCATACGTCATCTTCCCAGCACCTGGGTTCACAACTGCATCGCTGGGACTCGGATATTCTGATACACCACCAAAGAAATAGAACTGACAGCCTCCTGTGGAAAGGACAAAGTCCATCTTCCTGATGCTACAGAGTTCGGGGAAGAGGAACACTTGGGGAGGGGTGAGAGGTCCATCCCAAGGTGGGAGGGGACCCTAAACCCTGCAGCAGAGCTGGATCGAGCCCCAGGAAAGAAATCTCCATCGCCTGTCAGCCTCGACACCCCGCTCCACAGGCACAGGCTGACTGCTCTCCTTCCACTGCGCTCATACCCTTGGCTTCTTGTTTACCCGTGCAACATCAAACAATTGTGTCATCTACAATTAGGATTCTTCCAGGGCGCAGGCAGAAAGGTAGCCGTGTCAAGATGGCACCCTGCTCTGCCTATAGCGCTCTCCCAAAGAAGGTAAACATTTCAATTCCCTGTTTTGTTCGCATTTTTCTTCACCCTCTTCCTCTGACCATTCTGCACCATTTCAAAAAGGCAGCTCTGCTGACCGGCCACTCCTGCAGGTACATGCAAACACAGTTTTTCTCCCTGCAGCCCCAGAATTCACATTATCAAGCAGCTGACAACTTTCTTCAGCACATCTAAATCCAGCTCCTTCCACCTCACACAACCCAAATCACCGGCTGGACTATCCTCCAGACCTCCCTGCCGAAAAATCTGCTGCTTCTGAAGCAGCAGAGCACCTGGGCACATCATGCAAGGGGCCAAGAGCTGGGACAGGCACAAAGCGTTATGGGGATGGCTCAGTCTCTGCTGCTCAGCTTCAGAGATGACCTTGCCGGCAGAGAGAACTTCCCAGACCAACTGTGGGACACCAGACTGTTCTACTCACGGTGCTGAGAACTGCCAGCATTCATCTGTCTCTTGGAAAAAGCATCTCAGTTGGGCAGAGACAAACACGCAGCGCTGCGTGTGCACCGAGCAAAATTATCCTCTTTTGGACAGAAAACAGGTGTCATGAAGGCTCACCTGTAATGTCCGTAAGTTCTGAGGCTCAACCCCCTGAGCTCCAGGCCTGGAGGGAAGCTTGGACAGTCCCTGCTGTCCCACGTGAGCAGGAGATGGCTGGACAATAGACGCCGCATTCTGGACAACTGGAGTCTAGATTGAGAGAAAATGAGAACCGGCATCGGTGCTTGGAAAGGAAATCCATCGACAGACCCGATGCGGACCAAGCCTTATTGATGCTACATCGAATACTTCAGAGCTGCACAGATTTATCTTCTCAGCTGGCCTGGAGGGCAGCAGGCTAGGTAGGGCGGGTTGTGGATTCGCTATAGACACACTTTGCTAAGAAATATCACACAGGAGGACAAACGCGGAGTAAAGAAAGGTCCGAGAGCAGGGCAAGTCTTTGTGTTTGCTTGCTAAGAGGCTCATGCAAGGCCAAGCACGTTCCCTTTATCCCACCCAGCCCCAAACGATGCTGCTCAGAGCTTCACCTTCTGTACTACGTTCTCCTTTTGCAGCTGACTTTGCCTTAGTTTCTTCAGCAACACAAGCCTGGCCTCCTCCAGCCGTAGCTCATCCCGAAGCTGCTTGATCAGCTGCTGTCGCTCCTCTATGCTTTTACCCTACAAAGAGGCAAAAAATCAGTCAAAATTCAAACAGTTGAAACCTGCTGCTTGTGTCTTGGTGGCAAGAGAGCGCAAGGAAGCTTTAATACAAGCAGGAATTTGTACCACGGATAACCAAGGATGTAAGAATTGCTCAGAAACCCCCTGGGCTCCCAAATCCTTCAGAAAAGCAGAAACTCCCTTGCAGCAGAACAGCTCTGCGCTGCAGAAGCTGCCCGGGACAGTCGAGAAACCCCTTACCTTAAACATTTCAAGATTTGCTGCCTTAAGTCTTTCCTCCATACGAGAGCTGGAACGGGGACTGGATGCCTCATTATCAGAGAGGACAATTATATCTGGCGAAGGAGTTAATCGTCCCCTGTCCTGGTCACTGCGTAATACAAGGGAGAAAAAACACATAATAATAAAAAAAGTAATAAAAACCACGAAGCAAACTTTATCTGCAAGAGGACCAGTCGGGTGTTAATAACGAGCCATAAAGTAACTAAATAGGGAGACACAACCAGAGCCAGGTGCTGAGATGAGAGGGAACAAGGGTAGATACTGGGGCCTGCTATTGTTCGTACTTACTCAGGAAGATCGCCACGATGCTGGAGGTGAGAACAGGCTAAGTCCCCCAGTTAACAGAAATGTAAATGCTCCAAGCCTATCTCAATACAAATCTATTCTAAAAAGTCACTCCATATAGGAAAATCTCAACAAAAACCCCTGCGTAGAGTCAAAAGATCCAATTGAACTGTGACCTAGAAATCAGTAAACGAGAGGAGCAGCAACGACAACAGCCCATCGCTGGGAGAAGAAAAAAAATTAAAAAAAAATAAAATAATCAATGCTATAATCCAGCAGCATCCAAGCCCTGCACTGTTCGCGGTGGTATCACCTCGAGTAAGGAGACACTAATAAAAGCCCTTTGCTATCATCAATTTAATGTAATGGTGCTTGGAGAGCCTTGGAAAAATGCTAAATAGTCCAGTGTGAAGTAGCATGAGCGTTGCGGTTAGCAAGGTGCCGGGCACGCTGCCACCGAGGCAGACAGACTTATCGCTCCCTGACTCACTGGAAGGTCTTTGGTGTGAGGCTGCGGCGCGGGGAGGAGATGCACAATTAGCTTATCTGAAACTTTTAATTTTGAACACCCAGGAGGAAGCATGGAGGCCAATCCCAGCTCCAGGGCTTGGCTGCTCTGAGGGCAGTGGGTCCAGAGAGGATTTCTGGAGCAGGACGCCGGCTCACAGGAGGTTTTGCCTTTGGCAGGTTCATCTCCCAAATGTTATGGCCGCTTTCGTGGGCATTTCAAAGCCCTAGTGCTGCATACCTGCCCCCTTCCCCAGCCGTTGCACGTTCGCTGCAAATCCCATTGATCATGGAGTCTGCAAGTTGCTCTTCAGCTGGAGAAAAGCCCTCAGCAGTGTGGCTCCAAACCATCAAAAAAAAAAAAAAAAAAAGAAAAAATCAAAGCCATGAAAGCTCTCGGCTGCACCCAAAAGCGCTGGAACACGGCTCTGTGCGATATTTGTGGGTGCGTTATTTCAATAACCTCTTTGTGGGCCATCACACACTTGAGGCCTCATGTGAACGCGGTATCTGCTCATCAACAGACAACTTGTTCTTGTGGATCTCCTTTCGGCACCCCACGGATGCTGCGTGCGGGACCCAAACCAGGGGTTTTCCAGCTGCTGCTCCCTCTCCGGAGCGGAGGAGGAGGAGGAGGAGGTTTCTCATGTCACCAGTGGCAGGAGAGTTTCCAGCTGGGGCTGAATTTGTGGTCTGTCCCGGCAGTGTGGTTGGCAGAGAAGGTCCAGAGCATCCTATCGAGATAAAGTCAGCCCGAGCCCATCCAGCTAAACCAACCTGCATCCAAGGAGTTTTATATTTAGCTGGCCAAGAGTAAGAGCTGCTTTTGGATGAGTCTTCAACAGCTCTTGAGTGGCCCATCACCCTCCCACGTCATTTTTTCTGGCTTCTGCTGCGAGCTACCCAAGGCATCTATCTCCAAACTATCACTTAGGGCACGTCTATAGACGAAATTGCTCAGGAATAAACAAATCCTCGCAATGAAGCGGGTATCCCAGGTCACCTCACAGCCACTGTTCCCCAAAACCGGAGTTTCAAATGTCAACAAATACCGTGATGACCAAGTGTTTGGATAGGAAGCTCTCAGGTATGCACAGGATTACATGTTCAAAATAAAACAGGCTTTGGCAGAGGGTCCCTTCCCTCATCGACATCAGGGCTGCTCGCGCAGACTCCGCAGGCACCAAAACCAAGTCCCTTATTTTGCTGCAAGCCTCTGGATGGGCTCGCTTTGAGTCACAGCATCCCAAACTCTTGGACTGGAGGGACCGAAGGCAAGCAAGCATTGAGCACAACAGGTTTGCTTGCTCCGCTCGCATCCTTGGCCACATCTCAGGCACGCCCGGAGTAATAAAGTATCGAATTTTGGTTCAGGATTTTCCTAAATGCAGGCTGTCGTTATGGCTGCTGGTGATTATTTTGCACAAGCATCCAGATACGGGGCTGTTTTATTTACATTCCGTGGAGGGGAGAAAAAGCAAAGCCAGCGTCAAAAGCAGACAAGGGGAAAACAGGGCCATCTGTAAAGAATTGCTGAATATGTCAGGGTTGTTTTATTTACTTTTGTCAAGGGAAAAGCGTAATTACAACAAAACTACTGGAAGAAGAGCTACGCCGATGGCGCAGGAGGGAGGCAGAGGTGAGGAGACGTGGAGCACATTCCTAAGCAAACTGCAGCTTCGTGACCCCTCATCAGCTGCTTAGGAAAATTAAACACCCCCAGCCTTATTTCTCTTGCTAGAGACATTTTTCACACTCAGCTGTTTCAGAACTCATAGCAGATTTTTTCTGATTTCTTTTCAATCACAGCCAGTGAATTCAAGGGTCTGTGTCCGATGCTGGTACCTAACTGCACTCCCTGCATCCGGCACAATATTCAAGCAGCTCGCTTTGAGTCACAGCATCCCAAACTCTTGGACTAGAGGGACTGAAGGCAAGCAAGCATTGAGCACAACAGGTTTGCTTGCTCCGCTCGCATCCTTGGCCACATCTCAGGCACGCCCGGAGTAATAAAGTATCGAATTTTGGTTTAGGATTTTCCTTAATGCACGCAGCCCTCCACGGTGCCCGATGCTCGCCCACCAGCTCTTCGGGGAGAAGACAACCTGCACAGTAACTTACCCGAGCCGTGATTATTCCTGCAGCATTTAACACCTCAAGAGCTTAAATCCATTTGCCAAGTGGCTGAGTATTACCCACGCCATCTCACCCACAAGGTTTTTTGGGAGAATTGCACTTTTCAGAGGTGCAACACCCCAAGGATGCACTTGGAGCGGGACAGAAGTAAACCCCCAGCATCTACAAAGGGTGTTGCTTGCACCCTGAATGCTCCCATGAGCACAGAGAAAACCCTGTGGTACTCAATAATAACAACATCTCTGCCTCACTGCACGCAGTTCTTCAGATTTTACAGGAGGCTGAACCAGCGGCACAGGTGACGGGGCAGATTTAAGCCACATATATTGTCATTAAAGAAAAATAATCCAGGTGGCTTTCTCCTTCCCATCTCCAGCACTCCAGCTCTGTTCACCACTTCTGTTGCTCCATACGTCAGGGTGTGACAGACAAGAAAGTGCCTACGAAGGCATTAATCTTTATAATATTTATTATATGACAGCACCTGGAAGGAGCTTGAAGTGTTGAGATTCTCTGCCTTCAAATCCCCCATCCATCACCTGCTCACCAGCCCCTGTTGGGACAGGAGCCCCCGGGAAGCGCAGGCAGCAGCCCCTCGTTATCCAAAACCCACCACGAACACAAAAAGACCCCGATACGACGCATCAAGGAAGACAAACCAACCCAGTTTTGCTTAATCACGATCCCGGTTCCTCGATGAACAGGGAGAGTGAGAACAGAGAACGGTGGCAACATGTGGAGGGCACGCCCTTCGGTCTTTCTGGCTAAACCAGCCAAAATTAATGTACGCCCACACGCAAAGACGTACTCAACCAGTTGGGACACTGGCATCGACCTCACCCAAACCATTCCATGGTTCTATGATCCCCAGGCCCGCGAACGAAGCTCCTGTCGTTGCAGGCTGCAGCTTTGCACAGGAATTACCATCGCCTCCTTCAAACACGCTTCCACTGCAGATACCTGGCTCCTGAGCAAGGGGCAGGCATTCATCTGAGGCACCAACAAAACACAGAATCACTGACTGGTTTGGGTGGGAAGGGACCTTTCAAGGTCATCTAGTCCAACCTGCTCACGGCAGGGACATCTTCCACCAGACCAGGTTGCTCAGAGCCCTGTCCAACTTGACCTTGAAGGTCTCCCGGGCATCCACCACCTCTCTGGGTAACCCGTGCCAGTGTCTCACCACCCTTAGCATCAAACATTTCTTCCTTAGATCTAGTCTGAATCTCCCCTCTTTTACCTTACAAACATTCCCTGTTTTCCTATCGCTACAGGCCCTGCTAAAAAGTCTGTCCCCGTCTTTCTTCTAAGTATGGAAAAGCTGCAATAAGTTCTCCCCGGAGCCTTCTCTTCCCCCAACATCCCTGACTCTCTCAGCCTGTCCTCAGAGCAGAGAAGTTCCAACTCTTGGATCATCTTCATGGCCTTCTCTGGACCAGGTCCGTGTCCTCCTTGTCCCGAGGACCCCAGAGCTGGACACGGGGCTCCAGGGGGTCTTACCAGAGCAGAGCAGAGGGGCAGAATCCCCTCCCTTGCCCTGCTGGTCACCCTGCTTTGGATGCAGCCCATGCGGCCCAAGCCGCTGGTGACACAGCCCAGGAGATGGCTGGCTTTCTGGGCTGCCAGCACACATTGCCGGGTCACATCCAGCTTTTCATCCACCAAAACATCACGGGAAGGTCTCAGCACTCTGCACTTACTTAAAACAGGACTCCCCCGTCCTGCTCCTCAGCCCGTTTGCCAAGCCTGTGCCGGCCCAGTATCCAAATGAAGCCAAAAATCAAAATCATTAACGTTTCTTTCCTTCTCTCTCCCAAGAAAGCCGAAATAAGAACAAAGGCGGGATGCACCAGTGTCGCACAGCACCCTGGACGGGCTCTCACGTGTGACCCTCTCACTTCACACCCCCTGGCGCAGAACCTGGCTGCGGGCGTTGGTTTCGGAAATTGAGTTGCCAGAGTTCACCGATGATAAAAATCAGGTGTGTGCGTACCGCACGTACGGAGAGCGCAAGGAATGTCGACGTTTCTCCTGGAAAACAGACACAACTCACCAGCCGTCGATCGCCCAGGCAACCGCTTCTCACGA